ATATTAGAGCATTGGTTTTCTTCTTATTAGCAGCATTTACATCACAACCAATGTGTATTAAATGCTGAACAACATCGATGTGACCATTCTGAGAGGCAAACATTAACGCATTACATCCATTTTTATCCACATAATTTACGTCACATCCCTTTTTAATAAACAATTCTATTAAATCTTTATGCCCAAAATACGATGCAACCATCATTGGATTATGTCCGTTGTTGTCTACTGCATTTACGTCCCCTCTATTTTCAATGAAAAACAACACGACTTTTGAATGTCCTTCTTTAGATGCAAACATTAATGCATTCCTTCCATAAATGTCGACAGCATTAACATCACCACCTGCTGTAAACAATAGCTTTACCGTCTCCTCATGTCCACTACCTGAGGCCAGCATTAGAGCATTGGTTCCAGTCTCATTAGCAGCATTTACATGGCAGCCACTCTTTATTAACAATTGTACAACAGTTGTATGTCCATTTTTAGAGGCTAGAATTAATGGACTGTTTCCATCTTTGTCCACAGTAGCCAAATTACTTCCATGTTTAATTAACAGTTGTACAACATTGTCATACCCATTTTCAGCAGCAAAAATTAAAGCATTCAAACCATATTGGTTGACAGTATTAACATCACCACCTGCTGCAATCAATAGCTTTACAGTCTCCTCATGTCCTGTCTCTGAGGCCAGCATTAGAGCATTGTCACCATTTTGATTAACAACATTTACATCAGCTCCTACCTGAATCAATGTCTTAACAACAGTATCGTGTCCTTTATATGATGCTTGTGTAAGAGCATTGTCACCATTTTTATTAACAGCATTTACATCAGCACCAACTTTAATCAATGTCCTAACAACGGTATCATGTCCTCCTTGTGATGCTAGTATAAGAGCATTATTACTATTATTATTAACAGCATTTACATCAGCTCCATCTGCTATCAGTATCTTAACAACAGTATTATGTCCTACCATTGAGGCAAGCATTAGAGCATTGACTTTATCCTTTTTATAAACTGCATTTACATCAACTCCATTTTCAATTAACAGATCAACAACTTTTGTGTGTCCGTTCTTAGAGGCTAACATCAATGCATTACCTCGTTTAAACACATCATATTCATTAATGTCTACTCCGTTTTTAAGTGACATTGCAAGAACATTTTCATGCTCACAGAAGGCTGCTATTAAATTTGTGCGTACGTTAATAGGGAGAGAATTTGTGTTACACATGTAATCCAAAATTAGTGTTATAGTATTTTTGTTCTCTTTTAGATCGGCACTATCCAATGCATTTTTACCTTTAATGTTAATTATATTAGTATTACATCGACTATTGATTAATAGTTCTACAACTTTGACATAATTGTGATTTACTGCAAACATTAATGCATTCAATCTTGTTTTGTTATTAGCATTAACATCACACCCGTTGTTGATCAAAGCTTCAACAACTTTGTAATTCCCTTGCCTTGTCGCAAACATTAATGCATTATTTCCATTGTTGTCAACAGCATTAACATCACATCCAGCTGTAATCAATATTTTTATAGTTGTTTCGTGTCCCCATTCACAAGCGAGCATCAGAGCACTTTCGCCATGTCTATTAACAGCGTTTATATCACTTCCACTTAAAACTAACAGCTCAACTGCTTGTGTGTCTCCGCGCTGAGATGCCAGCATTAATGGAGTACAGTCACTGAATAAAGAGATCTTTTCTTTTATGTTGAAATAAACCTTAAACTCTTGGATAAGGGAGTAAATATTACTTTTGTGATCAAAAATTAGTTTTAAAGTTTCTTCATCCTTGTTTCGACGCGCAATATCTAATGCATTTTCCCCATCATTGTTAACTGCATTGAAAATACATCCGCTAGCAATTAGCAGTTTTACAACATTTTTATGCTGATTTTGAATTGCGAACATTAATGCACACCATCCATTTTTGTCAACAGCATTTATGTTAAACCCGCAATTTATTAAAATTTCAACTATTATATCGTGCCCGTTTTTTGCAGCGATTATTAATGAATTCCTTCCATCATTGTCAACTGCATTTATATTATACCCGCTGTTTATTATCAATTCAACAATCTTGTCATCCCCTATTTCAGATGAAAACATTAAAGCATTCCAACCATTATTGTCAACAACATTCACATCAGCTCCTCTTGCTAGCAAAAGTTTTACAATTCCTTTATATCCTTTTCTTGAGGTGAGCATTAAAGCTGTACGTCGATGGTTATTAACATTATTTACTTTAATTCCTTTCTTAATTAAAAGTTCTACAGCATTTTCATGCCCATTTTCAGACGCTAACATTAATGCATCCATTCCATCCTGGTCGACGAAATTTACTTCATTAGTGCTATTTAATAATATGTTTATAAGTTGAACGTTTCCATCTTGAGAAGCAGCTAATAATTCATTTAATTTTTCAGAATTGACAGTATTTGCATTACTTGTAGAATTCTCTGTCGTCCGATTATTCATTTTCTATTAGTTATTTTTATGTTTTACGCTGCAAAAAAAAAAAGCTGCAAATATTTACAAATTTCATTTAGCATCTTGTTGAAAATATCTTTAGCTTAATATTTAATTTTTATTACCATACAACAGCCCAACCTATTTCAATACATAATTCTTACCACACAACAGACAAGCCTATCTCAACTGACCAGTCTGATCATACAACAGACCAGCCTCTCTCAACTGACCAGTTTTATCTGATTAGTCTTACTAAAGAACAGACGTGCGCACATATAGACGGTTTGGCAGCGAGAGTATTAGTATGTTAAAATTTGCTATAATTTTGTAAAAAGGCGCCATATATATATATATATATATATATATATATATATATATATATATATATATATATATATATATATATATGGGGTAACTATACTGTGTCCCTAGGCTTATATTTTAAACTGTCCGGTAAGTGCAAGTCCGCATAAACCTAGATTGGTTAAATCCTAACCATAATCTTATACTGACTTATACAAAAATAAAACAAAAAAGCTAATCTATCACAACTATAATAATAGTTTCGCTGTCTGTATATCCATCCATCCATCCATCCATCCATCCATCCATCCATCCATCCATCCATCCATCCATCCATCCATCCATCCATCCATCCATCCATCCATCCATCCATCCATCCATCCATCCATCCATCCATCCATCCATCCATCCATCCATCCATCCATCCATCCATCCATCCATCCATCCATCCATCCATCCATCCATCCATCCATCCATCCATCCATCCATCCATCCATCCATCCATCCATCCATCCATCCATCCATCCATCCATCCATCCATCCATCCATCCATCCATCCATCCATCCATCCATCCATCCATCCATCCATCCATCCATCCATCCATCCATCCATCCATCCATCCATCCATCCATCCATCCATCCATCCATCCATCCATCCATCCATCCATCCATCCATCCATCCATCCATCCATCCATCCATCCATCCATCCATCCATCCATCCATCCATCCATCCATCCATCCATCCATCCATCCATCCATCCATCCATCCATCCATCCATCCATCCATCCATCCATCCATCCATCCATCCATCCATCCATCCATCCATCCATCCATCCATCCATCCATCCATCCATCCATCCATCCATCCATCCATCCATCCATCCATCCATCCATCCATCCATCCATCCATCCATCCATCCATCCATCCATCCATCCATCCATCCATCCATCCATCCATCCATCCATCCATCCATCCATCCATCCATCCATCCATCCATCCATCCATCCATCCATCCATCCATCCATCCATCCATCCATCCATCCATCCATCCATCCATCCATCCATCCATCCATCCATCCATCCATCCATCCATCCATCCATCCATCCATCCATCCATCCATCCATCCATCCATCCATCCATCCATCCATCCATCCATCCACCCACCCACCCACCCACCCACACACCCACCCACCCACCCACCCACCCATCCATCCATCCATCCATCCATCCATCCATCCATCCACCCATCCATCCATCCATCCATCCATCCACCCGTCCATCCGTCCACCCGTCCACCCGTCCACCCGTCCATCCGTCCACCCGTCCATCCGTCCATCCGTCCATCCGTCCGTCCGTCCGTCCGTCCGTCCGTCCATCCGTCCGTCCATCCGTCCGTCCGTCCGTCCGCCCGTCCATCCGTCCATCCGTCCGTCCGTCCGTCCGCCCGTCCGTCCGTCCGTCCGTCCGTCCGTCCGTCCGTCCGTCCGTCCGTCCATCCACCCATCCATCCATCCAAACAAAACAAAACAAAACAAAACATGACCAAACACCCAACAGACTACCAAACTGAAAAGATAAATACAAATATTTAATGCCATTAAAGTAGTATTCAAACAGTTCTAAAATAAAATGACATTTACCACTTAACGCAACAGCCAGGAGTGAACCATAACTGTGGGTCAAGAATTAATAAACCGTATCCCTGGTTTAACAGAAGCCCAAGGGATACGACTAATCAAAACCAGTGCTGTGAATTATTCCCCCACAGGAGGTTACAGGCATAAGTCTAAATATTAGGAAAAGAACATGATACGGTTAAAGAAATTGACTTTATAATAAAAAAAATTGTATTATGAAATATAAAATCTGATAATAAAAAATAACTATTTTACCAGACTTCTTGACCATATAAACACTATTTTAAATACTGATGGACATTTGATGGTTTTGGATTCCTACGGATAGTCTAGGCTCTGACCACACAGACACCTTTCTCATCCCCTCGGCAATCAAAGAAAACGTCTGTAACATCCGCACAAACACCTTCCTTGTACACTACGCATCAACAAATAGGACCTAAATCTTCAAACACTAACAACACATCACGAAACATTAGCCAGAGTTAAACAAAAGGACACGTAACATAAATAATAACAACAATAAAAACGCAAAATACACAGACTAGCAGTAGACAGCAGCATAAACAGCGGCACCATGATTTGGACTACATAACAAAAAAGCAAAAAACTTTTTACGTCAGAAAACGAAACGATACATTCGCATTTTAACCTTCAGATGATAATAATAATATAAATTATAATCAGCTACTCACATATATATTATATATATATATATATATGGCGCCTTTTTTATCTCAGTGTTGCTCCCTCTAATCCGAAAAACTGAAAAACTTCATACGCCTTTGGATAGAGCACTTACAATTAAGCGTTTTCAAGTTATTTCTATTTCTTAGAATGTCCGATCGTATCCTGCTAAACGATATCAATTGCAAATCTTATACCCAGTGAATACGTATATCACGCAATTACTTTTCTCCAGATTTAGGTGTGACTTTGCAACTAAGAAAACTTTTTCATTAACATTTTTCTGATAATAGACAAAACTTTTCATTACTATCATTTGCTTGGAAGATATACGAATATGAGCAGTCAGCGTATTATTCTCAGAAATGTGAAGTCATTTCTCAGTATATCAGTTTATTTTACACTTTTAAAAAGGCTAGAATTAACAGAAGTGAATATTCATAATACTCACTAAGCACAATATCCAAGCAAAAATATTTGAATAGTGTAACAGGCTGTAAACTTTTTATTGTTCGTGCTATACTTAAAAAACGCTAAAAATAGTTTTTTTGGTCAAGAGAGCGATGTGTTTATACTATAGCTTTGTCGTAGTCAAGTATTGTTACCCAAGTATGTGTGTTGAATCAAATTACAGTGTGTTGCTAATCCTGATTGTGATGACGCTAGTTCACGTGTGAGTATTGTTAAACTACAGTGTTGCTAATCCTGATTGTGATGACGCTAGTTCAAGATAGATGGTAGAAACAGACTATAGCTTGGTTAAACAGACGAATGTATATACATGAGCTGAACGGTCACGTGGGACGGTCAGCTGACCATTGAAGCCTGAGTCAGTAGTTAGATCAGCGGTAGACGGTGATAGCTATTGGTAGAGAACGGCTAGAGAAATGTAGAGCTAGGTAGAGAGTTAGAGGTAGATGGTTTTAAGATTTGTCATGGGAGTGCGTATTTAGTAGTATTAGAAGACAACATATAGTATAGACTTGTTGGGTAGAAGTAGGAAATTGATTTGTGTAAATAAAGAATTATAGAACACCTTGCATTGGACTTGTGTGTGTGTTTGATGTCACATAACAATACCAGGCTCGGTTTATCACCATCATCTCATTACGCCCACCCTCACACTGATCAGGATGTAAATTGTTTTAAAAAGAAATTATATCTCTTAAAATAAACATGTTTGTTTAGCTGTATCTCAATACGGATAGAGGTTATTGACATAACAGCAAGATGGAAAATACGATAATTTGAAAAAAAAACCCACTTAAATTACAGTTTATATTTAGATTATTTCTAGCTGGTTAAATTTTGTTGAAAAAATATCACACATTATCTCCATACATTTAAAAAAAAATAATTAAAATGCTCTTCCTTTCAGTTGACTTCTTTTTATAAAAAAAAATAGCACATATCTCTTTAGTTTTTCTTTGTTAAATACTTAAAATGCTCTTCTTTAATTTAAAACAAAATATTTTTAAACTAGATTGCAATTTAAACACACAAAATGTTACGTCAACATTACAGGAAATCAGCCGATGATGAAGATAGTAAAATTGTTGATAATTATTTTGGAATTCATTATTTGTTTGCAATTCCTGAAAATAAAAGTTAATTAATAACTTATTCTAGGACGGTATGTTAATTTTCTAACTAAAAAATATATAAAGTGTGCACGATTAAACTCGATTTTAAAAAACCCATCCATGGCAGATAATCGTTTCTATGCATCGCTTCACGATTTTGAAAAACGTCATACATTTATTAGTCTTTTGTGATGTCCTGATTTTGGGCGTAACACACCTTATTGTATGAATTTCTGATATATTTTTTTGAAGTTTGATAACTGACTATTTGATGCATTCAGAAAAATATGTTTTGATCGAATAATTAGCTAACAATGTTATTAAAACAATTTATGCTACATAACAATGATAATATATTCTGAAACATCTACAAACCAAATGAAATAGTTCACGTGTTTTTTATACCTCTAACAACACAATTTTTATGCGTGATCGTAAGATTCAATTGAAAAATTCACGTGTTAGTAAAATATCAGTTTCTTATATACTTCTATCTAGTAACGATTAAATATCTATAATAATATGTTGGTTGAATTTTTCTATACTCTTGAATATTTTTTAACTCATTTTTTTTTCAATTTTTTTTCGACGTAACTTTCATTCCACTTTTACTATGTTTCCCTCCATCTCTCGTAGTTAAGTACTTAATTACGATTTACCAACACATTGAAAGCGTGGAATACTTATTTTAAAGGTTATACTTTAACTTCTTCCAACATTGTTCACTGCTTATGTTTTATATGTCATTTTCTGATTTCTTTAAGTAAGCCTTTAGTTCTGTTAAACAGTCT